CATTTTTCGAAGACTTTACTGGGGCCTTCTGGCGTCCCAAAATGATAGATTTGCTACCACTTTCGTAGCCATTTGCGGTGCAGGAAAATGATAAATTTTGTGTAGCCTGAAATGAACCTGAAATGATTCAATATGGCTACATTTCAGTACGCGCCTAGACGAGGCAGATGGTGCAATACCTTAATCTAAGGAGCTGGCCTTTGCATAGACTGTGGCGAGTTTAAGCGAGGTGCTCCGGAAACAGGTCGAAGCAGTGCTGGACATGGCGCTGTCAACCATCAGCTCCCTCAACGAGTCCTTCACCTCCGCGGTGCGATTTGGCACAGAGAAATACACACCGTTGACCGAAAAAGAGAAACAAAATTCTGAGGAGGATGCGACAGGTGATGCAGCCCAAACCAACGAAATGTCTAGCTTGGACAACACGCTGCCCGCTGCTATGAACGTGAATTCGCCAGTACAGGACTTGCATGCGGCATCAAAACAAGAGCCAGAGAAGCACTCGGCATCAGAACTGACAGATTCTCAGAAAGTGACTGAGGGCGATGAGGCTCCGTCGCCTATGGATGTCCAAGAGGATATACAAAATTCAACAGCTGACGCTCGAGGTGTGTCATTACAGCAAGACCAGAACGCCTCGTCGCAAGGTCTCGCAGCCACACAAGGCAGATGCAAGGAGTGTCGTGGAGCAAAGCAAGAAGGCAATGACAGCGAAGAAGCATCATCAGGTGACGAGCCGGAACCAGAAGTCTGTAGCTGAAACGCATATGAGGAGTTTATTGAGTGTGTTGTCTTCGTACTGAGTACATGGTTATAATGATAATTGGCTGGTGGAGTATAGTTGCTAGCTTCCACTCCATGGTCGCTCTACGAGAGAGCTTCGATGGGCCAAGAACTGCGTAGGTGACAACAGGTTAACGAGGGCATCGATAACTGAACAAGATATATTACGCACCTGTTGCACTTCTTCGTCAGCAGGCAATTACCAGAGAGGTATATGTGAGTCTCAGCACCACCATCATTGGGGCCTGGTACCTTTCAGTACCTGGTGGGTACCTTGCGATATGGCAGGCTGGTGACCACCTCTGATCAGAATATGCTGCGATCTACAAGCACTGTTGGTTCCATAATGTACTGCCATGGGGCTGTAGCTTGCCGGTCCATTGTCTGGAAAGCGTGACATAAAGCGGGTGGCAAGGGGAAGTCGAAGATGAAGGTATCTATGGGAGGGTATATTCCGATGTTGGGTTGGATTCCGAAAGTAAGCATTCGCTTGTGGCTGATATTCCCTCCCACAGAGAAAGACTCGCATCAGGGAAAACCCCTCGGGTAATGCTAGCTGATGCAGCGGCAATCATGTCTAACTAGAGACATTAGCCGTAGAGACACATTAGATAACCCCGTTGTTATACCGGCGAAGATTAGACATATTATCACACCAATAGTTCATATTAACCATGAGATAAGGCTTCCATTTCAGCGTTATATCCTGCTTTCTTGGGGTAACAATGCTACGATAGGCTACTCATCATCCAGAACAATTCATGATACAGCCTCTGGATGAGCAGGTTCATCAGCCGCTGCAGGGACCGTCGGCACAGCGCCACTAGCAAATACTGTTAGTGACCTCAGTGCATAATATAATGAAACCATAAGCACACACGTAACAGCGAGGTAGACATTGTGCAGGATGCAATGACAAGTCTGCTCACTTCTCTTTCGAGTGTCCTCAATGAGTTTGAGTACAGCGTCATATTGTTTCTCGCACTCGGTGATGTTAAAACTATCTGGGTCCGTGCCATCCCCCTCGGCCCAAGCATCGAGGGACAGCTTGATCTAAACATTCGCTGGTTAGCGTGACAGCCTGCGCAGTAGCAAGGCACTACGTACCATAGCGCAGGTCAGCCTCAGCATTGGTACTGGGATTTCAAGCTCATGCTCCTTGTACTGAATGCTTGATTTGAAACGGTTCAGAAATTCATGGGCAACCGAGGGTATCTTGTGCATGGAATGGAAAAAGAACTGACATGTGGTCTTGATGATGATAGATCGCAAGAACGACCGCTTGCCATCAAACGAGCTCTGACCATGATGCGAATAAGTGTCAGACCATAAGTAACAACTGGGGAGCATATCAGAACTCGCACCATTATATCTCCCGGGTAGATATAACCTTGTCAATCAATGAGCGCATGTACGCATTGTGTGGGTTCCTTCACATGTTCAAGGAAAAACCGAGATGGACAGCTGGGCCACACGGTTTAACGAGGTTGTAGACAAATTGGCTGGAGAAGCTGCCCGTGATAGGGCACGACAGCCTAAATGAGGATCTTCATATGCTGCCACGCATGCAGAAACCAAAGCCAAGGCCAAAAAGAGCTGGCAAACAATAATGAATGGCATCAAATACCATGGGCATTCTAACCTCCTGAAACAGTCAGAACACAAGCTTATTGTTCCCGACCGTAACCACTACTTCCTCAAGAAATTTGGAAATGACCATCGCTTATATGCACGCATGACCCACTTCATGACCGGACACTTCCCCCATGGAGAATTCCGGAATAAAATGAATCTTGAGGGTGGGCGAACATGCCTGTGCACAAATACCTACGAGACATGAGACCACATCATGTACAAATTCCCATATTGGATAAGAACTGACAAAATCAGGCCACCCAAACGTGCACCTGACCAAACACGCCTAGAGCTCATCTCCGCAGGAAAACAGCTTGAACTGCAGAACAAAGAACAAGTAGTCACAATTGATGAAATACACAACTTCCTGCTACTTAACCCTCTCGTCGGGACATTCGAGTGGCAGGATCTGATGGAACACATGCAATCGGATGTGTTCCCACTACGCGACAATGATAATCCTGACTGGGAGTCTCATATCATCAACATCGTGTTCGATGCACTGGTGCTACAGCGTCCTATGCTTTACACTGAATACAAGCGAGCCATGCGCAGAAACAAATCTCCAGCACCGTTCCTTCAATGGCTGAATGCCAAATCATGGTGGCCCATTAGACATATATGGACGAAATACCATCAGCATCACCCCAATGACCAACGGCTGTTCCGGGAGGTTGTACCAGACTGGCTGCGGTCAGTCCTTGTCGCGGCCCGTGTCCCTCTCAAGATAGAGGTCGCGTGGCAGAGTGATGATAGTAGGGAATCAGTGAAACTCATCCAGGTAGATGACCTAATTGCATCCAACCCTGCGGAATCCCCCGCACCTAGTCTTCATTCACTGTCGTCTGAATCTGATCGGAAGGAGGCCGCCCCGACTCGGTACATTGTGCAATATATTGAGGTATGGCCGCGCTCACCGTCACACAGTGAGCACTGAGACATTTTCCTTTTTCGTATTGTCTACTATTTATTGGAGCCATGGACTCCCGCGCCTCTACGGACGCTAGTAGTTACGCGCCATACAGACACTAGTAGACAGGTGTACATTACCCTATGTTGGTAGCACTTTAAATACAGGAACAAAAAAAAAAAAAAAAAAAGAC